TGGAGTACTTCGAAAATGGGGATACACACGAAGCGGCGCTTTCAGTACAAGACACCATATCACTAAAATTCCGTGATATCTTCGTGCAAATAGGCATCGAAATCTCGATGGATCACAAACCTTCCCATAGAGAAATGACGTCTGTTTTAATTTCGGATTTATTCGGCCACGTTATTAACGAAATCGATATAACTAAAGCCTTCGAAAGTCTCCTGGTTAACTTGCCCGATCTAATACTAGATATTCCGGATGCTCCTACCATTGTCGGTAATTTCATTGCGCGTGCTATTGCCGACGACTGCATTCCTCCTAAATTCCTCATCACTGCGAAGGTAAAATCGGGGGAGAAAAATTTCCAAGAAGCTGTAAGTCGAGCGGATACTTTGCTATCTATGAAACATGGCCTGGTTCGTTTACATAACGTTTGGGGTGTGGGCGGTGCTTTACGACCAGTCAAGTACTTGACTCGTCAGATGACCCTGCTCTTGCAAGAGTTTGTTTCCTCTGGCGATATTGAAGAAGCAAGCCGTTGCTTACACTCCCTAGAAGTGCCACACTTTCATCACGAACTCGTGTATGAAGCGATTGTGATGGCTTTAGAAGCAAATAGTGCAGTTAAAGAAGAAGCTCTTTGCAAATTGTTAAAGTCATTTGATGCTGCCGTTTTACTAACGCAGGATCAAATGGAAAGAGGTTTCCTCCGCGTCTACGAGGATCTACCCGATATATCCATGGATGTGCCATTGGCATATATAATTTTGGATCGATTCGTTGATCGTTGTTCAAAACAAGGCTTTTTATCCGAAGTGGTAATTTCCAAACTTCCTTCTAGAGGCCGTAAACGCTATGTATCCGAAGGTGATCAACAATTTTTGAAAACATACAAAATTTCATAAAATGCTTGCTTTTTATCTAGGGTTAAAAACGTTAATTTGCATTTAATTTCACTTACTATTCACACTGTGTGTTGAATCGTAGTATGTTATTTTCTTTTGTAATGTTCTATACAAATAAAATTTATCAAAGTTAAATTTTTTTCAATGAACTGGTACATATAATATTTGCATGTATGTGTAGAATGCGCATGCGCTCTGATGAAAACTTTCCCTAGGAGGAATCCAATTTTTTTAACCACATGAATTTTACTGTGGTTCTTACTAACGGGCGATCAAAAATGAGTTGCTGTCGAGTCGCCTTTGGAAGTTCAAGTTAAGTACGATTTCCCATGTAAACAAAAATTCCAAAGGCGACTCGACAGCAACTCATTTTTGATCGCATTGTATACAGCGTGGCAAGTTGACGGCGGAACATTTGGAAATAACATGCGAAAATACATTTTGGCAATTCCTGCTCCCCATTTCATCCTACAGGAAAAATAAAAACAAAAAATAAGGTCTTGCGAATAAATTTTAGGTTTTGAAAAACGGAAAATTATAAGTAATAGTATGAACAAATGCAGTATTTTTTTTCTCTTAAAAAAAACGTATTTAGACTTTTGTTCTAAAATAATTAGGGGAGCTAGTATTGACTATAAAGAAATTACCATTGAAATCCCTATGCTGCGTCGCGCTAGGCACCACCCGGTATACATATCCAAAATTTGAGCAAGATTCGTCGAGCTGTTACCTTGGAAAATTGCCAACGTATGCACGTACGCACATACATAATACACAGACGGAAAAAAATTTATTCTTTAAAAGTTGCTTAAAATGATGTAAAACGTCGACATTTGGTGAAATTTTATCATGTCCAAAAAACGATCATCGCAATAGCCACCTAGCTCGCGCTAGGAAGCTAATAATTAATAATTGTAAACAATCATAACAAACTTTACAAACGGTTCTTTTCAGAACCACAGGATGTTTTCAAATGAAATTCGTGATGTCACTAAAGATTCATTGTTCTACATTTAATAGATTTAAAAAAACCCTTTTATTTTCAAAACGCGATAACTCGGAAACGATTGAATTTGGGTACATAATTATGCTTCTTACAAATTTTGCTTAAAATCGGGAGAAAAATTAAAATATCGTTATATAGGGTATACGGTGTTCCATTTAAAAAATGCAATTTTGGTGTGCCACGCCTTTATGAGTATCTTAGATATAAAAGAAAGATCTGAAAAGCAGAACGCGTATTATATGGCTAAAGCTATGCCCATATTGAATTTCATGCAATTTAGTTCATAACTAACGGAGATGTCAAAGCGATTGGACATTTCTAAACAAAGTTGTCTTTCACACGGACAGACAGACAAAGGAACAGACGGACAGACCAACAGACAGCAATACAACATATATTATAAACGATCTCTAGGATAGTTAATAAACGGCAGAAGTGTAAAATTATGGAACATGTAAAAACGGTTTGTTGGTTTTTTTACAATAACTTTTTTAGCAATAAACGCAGAAAAAATTCCTTCTACCATAACGAGCCAAATAACGAAAAAAGTAAAACAATAGCTAACTAGTAGCGTCTCAACGAACGAGCGGACGGACGGGCAAATAGCGCATTTTTTTTATTGTGGAAATGCGCTAAAAACTTGGCCTACTCACGTTGTATAAATTGTGTATCGGTTGACGGCACCGTGCGTGAACTGAATTCTAAAAGCGCCAGCAAATTAGACACCGCAAGTTTGACAAAACACCTTTTATACACAAGATTTTATCTATTTATTTCTATTGTAATCGTTGAAACCTTTTGTAAAGAGCGATATTGACGATTGTTTTTTATTTAAATTCGTCAGTATTAAGTGAAACTGTGATAAAAGCGCATTTAGTTACTGCATATAATGTTATAAGAACCGTAATGGGAAATTCCGGCCTAAAACAACATTTGGAAACTTCAAAGAAAACGGGAGTATTAAAGATATCGCAACAGAAATTAAATGAATTTCCTCCAGGTATTTTACAACTTGACGGAAATTTAAGAACTTTAGATATATCGGATAATAAGTTTATAACATTACCGAACGAAATAAGCAGGTTCATTCATTTGAAGCAATTAAATCTCAATAAAAACAAACTTACGAAGTTACCTGACTGCATTGGCGCACTAACAAAATTGGAATTATTTAACGGATCGCATAACAATTTAATTTCGTTACCACGTACCATATCTAACTTGATTCATTTGAAACAAGTTTATTTATCCGATAATCACTTTAAGGAATTTCCACTAGTTTTTACTGGGCTTAAACATCTAGACGTATTAGATCTCTCCAGAAATGAAATAAACTGCATCCCACCAGAAATATCGGGCCTGTATGCGATCGAGCTCATTTTAAATCAAAACCAAATATCTGAAATTACCTATCATGTGGCCACATGTCCAAGATTAAAAACACTTCGACTGGAAGAGAATTGTTTGCAGCTATCAGCCATACATCCCGCAGTTTTAGGCGAATCGAAAATATCCAACTTGGCGTTGGATGGAAATTTGTTCGAGGTAAAAGAGCTTTCGGAGGTGGACGGTTACGATTTATATATGGAAAGGTTTACAGCTGTTAAAAAAAAGATGTTTTAATACGAGTTGTATTCGTCTATACTTCACTGTTTACACAGACTACGTAAATACTACTATTACGCAAATATCTCCAATTTGGTGCTTCTATGTCAATTTTCATAATATCTGTGGCTTAAACGCATATGTTGTACATAAACTGTCTACAAATTACTCAAGGTTCGTGTTAATGGAAGTAGCGTTAGAGAATGTTAAGAACCAACTTTCTAAATTTGAAATTGGTAACACCAACTTATTATTGTAATATATGAATTTTCTTGTATAAAAAATTGCTGTATACTTTTGGTATTCTATACATCTAAATACATATCTTCATGTTACCTTCTTGTTTCAATTCCGTACAGGGTCGACAATAAAAACAGAATGTCAAATCTAGTTGGAATAGTATTTATTAAGAGCACACATTTTTTCAGCTTTTACATGATTGTGATGGTCCAATTTTCATCTTTTCACAAAAACTTCAAATTGACTGTACCCATGAATGTTTCATGTTAGCTGCTTTTAATGTTTGTATTCAATGTCCATTAAAAAACAATAAAAAGACAATCACTTTCATAAAAAAATATGTTTATATATTATTGATGTTGTAAGATTAAGCAATTCTAGTCTATATTAAGCACTGTACTTATATTTATGAATAAATGTGGTATTCTATTTTAAATATTGTTGGATTTTTTAACTTTTTCAAGTATTAAGCCAAAACTTTCCGCAATGGACTGGCATAATTCCAAATGTTCTTCATTCTTTCGACACGAAGCAGTCAACAAGTTCACGCCTTTTTCCAAATCATTAGAATGCGGAACATCAATAACGTCTGCTCCTCGATTATAAAAATCAAACAGGTTGGTGGTATGCTGTTGTAAATTACAGGCACTTGCACGATCCAGTTTTAGCTTTGGATCTTCACTGGGAGGGTCAACGCGAAACTTGGGCTGCGTTATTTCATTCATAATTTCAAAACATTCTTTCACCATTGCAAACTGTTCCAACTTTTCTTTGTTGGCGAGAAACCTTTCCTGTTTATGATAAATTTGTTCTAACTTTAGCAATTTCGATAACGTTTCGTATATGCTGTTTTCTTCGTTCATTTTATTTTTACCTACAACACAAATCATTAATTTCCCCTGGTAATGCAACTTGTCTTGAATGTAACATGTGTATTTTCAATTTCATTTTCAAGTGGTTGCTATGCAAAACTTCCATGACCAACCCGCATTGGAACCAGAGTAGAGGAGCCCACGATGCTAAATAGGGATTTACTCGAGTGTCATAGGGACCTATTGAACTTTTAAATCATATGGTAGAAAGAAAAAAATGATATGATGTACATCCCTCCACCGGTGGGGGACGCGGCTACACTTTTTTTAATAATATACACAAAAAATAGTTACATGAAAATACTCGACCGCGTCAGATATTGATAGTATATCTGCCCCACGTGTCTCTGATATTGGAGGTATGTTAACCTGCCGGTTTGCATGGGTGGGGCAGACTGTACAAAAGGGTAGAAAACGGGATTTATTCAAGCGCGTCAGATATTTAGAGCGTTTTACGTATAATTTATGACACGGCGGTCTATGATCTCAATATCTCAGTCAACTGACATACTTCCAACTGCTGAACGCACTGAAGGATGTGTTCCACTTTGGAGTGTAGAAATCGGCAAATTATATTTTTAGTAATAATTGTTATTGCCCAACAGTTCACAAAACTAACGTTTTTTTTGCGAGTTTGTGACCTTCCCACTTTCTCATGTCACGCTCAAATCGTCAGATTATTGAAATGCACACTTTTCAACACGTAGTGAACCCACCTTACTTTAATCTTATCGAGGTAAATAAACATTAAGAAAAAGTTTGTACTCCACGAAACTATTGGAGTAAAGTATAGTTTGCTGATATTACATTTTTTATTAATTTAAAAATTTCATTTAACCTCATCAGTCAATAGTAGTCTAATCTAAACCATCATTGGTAGTTATAAGCACTCAAAGGCACTAGTCAGCAATTCCTGAATTCCAATTTTCGGCTGTTTTTCAAAAAAGGATATTTATTTATTTAGTTTGCCTTTATACTCGTACTTGAGTGGGCGGGGTTTCAGCCAAGGCTGCTGTCCCAACCCAACCCACGACACATTTACAAATATCCATGCTCGAACCCGGATGCGACCCAAGGACCCTTAGCGCCGCAATCTTGCGAGTTTTTCATCGGCTAAAAATAGTGTTTTTAAAGTTTTTTCAAATTTCTCTAAAAAAAATTTTAATTCATTATCTTCATGTTCTAATTTCGCCAAAAACACAATTTCGCAAAATCTTTTGCATAAGTAGCGTTGAGTACAATGTGTACTAAACTGCATTCTTTGTTGATCACATACTAAACTCAAGAAACCATACATGTACTATGGTTCATCCTGGTCATTATTATAAACTTCATTTCTTTTTAGCAATGGAATATTCATTCAAGTGCATTTTATTATTATGTCTAAAGTGGGAAGTCATTATAACTTACCAGCAGTGATTAGCAGTTGTTCGCTATCACTGACAGTAGCAGACAATTGAGAGTAGTGGCATGCATTACGATTTGATGTACCTATATAACTTAGTAACTTTTATGTAAAATTGATAGATGCCCCATATGTAAACTTTTACCTAATCTAAGTAATTCCCTAAGGTTTATTTTATTTTTCTTTGTCCTTGCTACGTGATTAAAAATTGTACTTGTGTATTTGTATTTTTCGTAGAGGATCTGTACTTACATTTATTTGAGTTATTGAATTATTGTTTTTTATAATTTTTAAATTATTATTTTTGTACAGTTCTTGCCATTTTGAGTTATTATATATCTAAACTACCATTTATTAGCTCAACTTGTAATCTTAATTTAAAATTTAGTTTAAAATGCAGTTATTTTTATTTTTTGTAGTACTTTGAAACTGTACACCGAAATATGTTTGTGCTTTTGGGGTTATTCCCGTATTACATCATTAATTAAATTAAATATTTCATTAAAATCAACGCCACTAATTACCAGTTTTTTTCATTTTCAATTCAGCTAAACATTTTGGGGGTCGCTGCTTCCAAATTTCTTTAAAAAACAAAGTAACCTCCATATAAAAAATTGTCACTCCATAAACCAATTCATCAACAAATTACCATTATAGCATACATCACAATATAATAAGAGAGGGTACATTTTCTTTCCCCTAGTGGATAACAATCAAGTATAAACTTTCAATTCAAATGGTTTTATTAAGCAGATTGGTACAAGAAATTAAAGCTTAGAATACTCATCTGCATCAAGCATTGAATTTTTCATACTTTCATACACATTTAACATGGGCAAAACTAACGCTATGTATCCTTTATCAACAGGATTTGTAACTAACAAATTTGGATTAGAAATTAAATTTTCATTAATTTCCAATAGCTTTCCTTGAACACAACTATAAACCGGATAGACATCGCCATCCTCACATTCGATGTAACATAAAATGGAATTCTCCATTAATTTTTGCGCACCCCGTTTCCCTTTTCCCGAGGTGGAATTTAATAAGCGGTTTATTTTCTCGTCAATTGTACAATTGATTTTGGCAACCTTTTTGTTATTTTTCATGACAGGGTGGTTTTCTGCCAGGGAAATCATGCAAATACGATTTGTATGGAAACTAACTCTTTGATCTAAATTTTGTTCTTTTGTACTAAATTTGATACAATATTTGTGCTTGTAATACCTATCACTTACTGGCAAAAATGCATTTACAGAATTTAAGTCAATAGAATCGATTATGTCAGGTTGAATCATCTTACTTTAAAAATTTAATTTGTTTCTTGCAATTCTTTCTTTTGATTTTTCAATGTTTCTTTGTCGACGTTGTATTCTTTCAGCCTTGAGACATTTCAGCATCAAGTCGTAGTACGTATTGCAAGCTCCAAAGAATTTCTTAAATCGATTCTGTAATCAAAGAAAATGAAATTAAGAGACTTAAAGACAATACAACCTCAATACATTTTCTCGGCATAATTTCAATTGTAAGATTAACTCATTACATTCTGGAGTGTGCAAATGTGGTGATAAATCTGGATGCATCATTAATTGATTAATTAAATTGGGTTTTACCTTAAACAAAAAATGCTATGGAAACGTAAACTCAACAATGCAACGATAATTTCAAAAAACAAAATTATATTTATTATAAAATTCAAAGTTCAGAAATATGAGGTTATGGAGTAACTATGGAATGGATGGAAGTGACTGCTGCACCGAGCTTCGAATTCGCCAACACATAATATGAATGTACAGGGGATGTAAGTAAAAAAGCGTACCTATTTATCACAAAGACTTTAACAATAAAAAATTTTTATTCAATGGCGCGGTTTAGTAGTGACAAGTTTCTTATTTATCACTTACGTACGTTATTTTCTTACCAATTGATATTCCAAATTTATATTCCATGTAAGTAATCTTCAATTTATACTCTCATTTAAATACAGTAACTCGAAATTTAAAACAGTGGTGACCGCCGGGTGTCTCGTTTTTGATGGGCATTGGTTCCGGTCGCCATATTGGGGTTACTTTCTATACTTTGGTATAGAAGTTTACGCGTTTTCTTCGTGTTCTTGCGAAATTGTGTGAATAAAGGTGCTGCTTAAGGTAAAATGTATATTGTGGGCATTCGGTTCTATATAGACAGTAGTTTGGTGTGCTTAGAGTCAATAGAAATTAATTACGAAAAGATGATTATACTGCTCAATTGTGCTCATAATCATAAATACGCTTGAATTGGTTTAAATTTTACCAATGATGGTTGCTGAAGAACAATGAATAAGTATTGCTTTTTTGTACTTCGTGGACTAATACGTATTTTGAGTTCCATTTAAGGGACTAAAGTGACGAGGAACAAAAAGTGACAGAGAACACACGGAAATATCAAACTCAATTTAACCATTAATGGTTATCCTTATATGTACATGTTGGATATTGCACCATATTTTATAGTTATTATATCGTTTTCCATATATTTTTTTTAATTTGGAAGGTATAGTAGTTTCCTCAAAGCTTGTTTTGCAAAGTTTTAAAAGGTCATTTCTGCGCCGTTAGTTATGTACGAGGATCTTTAAATGAAACTGAAATTTATTATTATACAGTTGTCACAATTTGACATGGCAAGGTATATTGATCCTACAGTCAAACAATTTTTTAGACCCAATATGGCGGATTATGATAAGTTGTTGCTAATCAAGGTTATTTTATTTCAAACAACCTTGGTTGCTACTGTCCTAATACAGTCACTGTACATTTAAACGCTATCTAGGGATTTCCTTTGTAAACCCGGTTAGTGAAAATGTAGTCATTTCTGTAGTAGATTTGTTATTACCTTAAGGTTTTTATTTTCTCCGGTACAGGCCACCCGGGTTTTATAGGTTTATCTTAGAATAGTTTTTTTTAGTTTCGCCGCTAGAGGTCATAATCTTTTCTTTTCTGCATACGCATTCACTGAACTTCTTCTTTTTAGAGACGATTTTGCCTTCACAATGGCTGGTAGCAGATTTGTCTGATACGCTATTACTTATTTACTTTTTTCTACTGAATATAAGCTCAGTTTACATTTGTCGGTGCGAATGCCCATGAGATTTTTAGCGCACTTTTCATAAAAAATACAGCTTATACTTTTGTTCAACAATAGGAGGATGGAAATAAGGGATTTGCCTAGTATTGTAGCTAGACTAGACTGTTTATCATTTCTGAATTCAATTAAATTTGGTACTTGGATATCAATGAAAATAACGAAGCAAGGTTTTTTTGAAAATTAAAAACAAACTTCAGATAAATACAATAACTATTCCGACGTGCAAAACACATAGCATAAGAAGATTACATCATACCATCAATGAACTATAGATGACGTTGTACCATTTCACTCAACGGTTATATACTAAAAAAACGCAGTTCAACAGTTTTGTTTTTAAATACATAAAAATCGTATCAACCAAAATTCATTTTAATATTGTGGTTCGATCAAGAACTGCAGTTGGAATCTTTTTCGAATTAAAAAAAAAAGGATTTTGGATTCATTATTTTCATGTCAAAATACCTCCGAATACCAAACTTTATCGAGATCAGAAAATTGATTCGCATACTTGCTTAGTGAAGCAGCACCATCTAACCTTTTTTTGCAGGCGACGCTCAAAATATGCGTTTCGTGTGGTTGTTGTTGGTGAATTCGCCAATTTACACTAGGTTTATTCACTCTGTATACTGTACATTAGAGGATAATTGTCAATGTACGAAATTATTATTAAAATACCATCCAGCCCAAAGAAAAACTAACGTTTTCATAATAAATGCTCCTGTAAAGGCGGTAGGCAATTCGTCATTCATGAATGCGTTCATTCTCAACCACAACTGAAAAAGCAGCCCAGTCCTCTTCACTTCGATTTCGGGGGCCCAGGTATAAGACCACCAACAACTGCCATCATGTTTGGAAGGAACGTTTATTTTGCAACACCCTATATTAATCTGTTTAATATATTTGTAAAGCGTCAGCATTTCCTGTTTTTTTGAAGTTGAAATATGCATTCACAGCTATAATAAAGGACCCAGCATTAGCACAAGGAAGAGGAGACTACTAAAACGAAACTATGCCAAAGTCTAAAGATAGAAAAAACACATGTGTTTATTGACCCGGCGTTAAGAACATCACTCATCGATTTGTTGTCAGTTGTCATTTGAACATGATGAGATTACTTACTCTTTTAATTGGTAATTTTAATTATTATATTTCGGCGGTCTTATGTATAAAATAATAAAAAAAAACCGCGAAATTCGGTTCTGAATTTTCACGTCCGCTCTTAAGAATGTAGTGGTCATGTTGATATTTTTCTTCGGTGATGCGGGGTGCTGATGGGTGTTGTTAAATATGACATCTACTCCAAAAACAGTAACTGCAAAACATGTCCCAGGTAATTAAATCATATTAAAATTATTTCGTTGCTAATCTTCTTTGATTCACTTTTAGTTTAGTTTTAAAGGGGTGTGTGTAGCAATTACACCTGTAGTGCCTAGATGACCTTTTGGCATTTAAATGTGTGGAGCTCATCCCAGTTTAATAACATTTTTGCTTTGTGCACTTAATGAATGATTCACAAAATTAGTATTAATTTGTAAAAATGAGCTTTTTATTCTCATTATTTGTTAGCAACAAGCTCTCCTTTTGAAAATATTTTGTTAAATGGAGTGTTTTGTGTTTTAATCAATCAAACTTTGATGCTCTTTTTGGCTCTTTTGCCCTCGTGAATTTGTGTCAATAGTACATAGTACACAACTAATGTGGGCTCGTAACTTTCTTTCTACAAGTTTTTTTTATTGTATGGGAAGGCTTAATGAACCTACGACCTCTGTTATTACTACACATGACATTACATACATATTTACATAGTCTTTTCATTCTTTTGAATGAATTACATACATACTTCGTAAATTCATTGACTGCTGTATGTTTTAACTTGGGTAACTAAAATGACCACATAGATTTACATATTTTACCTGTTGAGGTGAGGCAGGGTCTACTCATGAATGCCAAAATTCAAAGCTGTTAAGTTGAATTTTCTAAACATTTTAGATTCATCTCTTCATCATCATGATGTAGGTAATTATTTTTATTACACTGAAAGCTGAAGTTGTCTAAAAACGAGTCTAAAAAACCGGGACCACTCAATGTAATGTCTCTGTTTATTAGGTTTGTTGTTGTTTACTGTTTGTATTGTTATGTACTTCTGGTTGCATAACTGGAGCATGTTCTCAAGGAATAAACATAGTGGAAATATATGGTGAAAATAGGGTTGTTAGATGTTTATAAACCAGAGGTAGGCGTAGGTACATAATGATATAGGATGGGGCAGGGGGTAAATCAGTGAGAGATGGTGTCACATTCCCTGCAACTTGCTCTGTTACTGGATTTTGAATTGACCAATCCATGCCTTTATTAAAATTATTATGCTCAAACGGATTTTTTAACTAAATCTGGATTGTGGTAATTTTGGAGTAACTCTGAAAATGTTATAGCAAGAGTAGTAAAAGCGTCAACTTGAGTATATTTTATAGTTGATATTGTCTGTGTGTCTGTCTGTCCATCAGTCTCTCTTTCCATTTGTTGCGATCTATGAGCTAATGGATGTTCGAGATACTTTCAGAATTTTGTTCACATTTGGTCTGTTGGTCATTATTACAGAAAATTGCGGTTTCTTTATTTAAAAGGTGTTACCGAGGGTGTTACTATGTAATGTGGACAAAAAGAAAGCCTTCATTCAATTCTAAGCAAGAATAGAATTAGAAATTCGGAAATCCAGTTGTAGTGATGTATTGTAAACTCTGCTACATCGCAACAGTGTTCATTAATGTTACAGTGTGTCCAGCGAAATCCCTTCATCATTATTTAGTGAAGTTGATTCTTCAGGATTACTCGAGGGATTACTGTGATGTAATCATGTTAGGCATCAGGTTATTGAGACATTCAACAAAGTAAAATGTTTCAAATAAACAGCCTGTATATTTGTGCATATTTTGAAAGAAAAAATGCTGAATACACTCTTAAATAGCAGACATACAAATCATTAAAACCATTCAATCGAAATTACCATATGCTTCATGAAAAACACACAATTTAATATAAGTACGAATCAATTCCAACTCACACAGAAGGTGACAGAACGGGGCGGTAGACTCGGGCGCCACCCAGGGAATGCGGACTTGTCCCTGGAGAAGAATTTGGGACGGTTACAACAGATAACTCGTCAGAGAAACGGTCTCCAGAGATCTTGTGGTTAGCGGAGGTCGGCTTTTGGCGCATGATTTAAAAACAGAATTACGGCAGCAAATTTTTTAAGCGGAACGGAAGCACAAATTAATTAACGATATATACTAGGAAACAAAATGCAGGAAAACAGAACACAACCACCGTATAATTAACGGAAGAAATATAGCAAACGCTTACCATTAGATTTAATGGAACGATGATAAATCATATCTCAAAACGTATGCCAATACAGTGAAAATTGCCAAAGGACGTTATATGAACTTCCCAAATTTCTCTCCTGACTGGGCACGAGAAGTTTCTCCCCTGACTGGGCAATGGAAGCACCGCTCATCACTATATGTGAAGTAGAGGTATCTCATAAGAGATCTTGACGGATACTCATCAAACGTCGTAGAGGGAGCCCTACTGATATGAGTGGCATGGATGGCATTACAC